CGCAAAAAGCTAACGGTAAATTCCATGAAATTAAAAAATATAATTATTTTTCTTAACTCACACAATTAACCCTTAAAATGGGGCATTATCTTAACCCCTCTCTCAATTAATTTTCGCTTTATTTCAAAGACTGCATATATGCGTCATCCTAAATATATGCAATCCTAGAAATAGTTTTGTGTATGAATGAAAATAATTTTAATAGTGTGATAGGTATTCATAGACTGTATTTAAAAGCAGAATTTTCACTTGTTGAAGGGAAAAGTGCTACAATACAAACCATTGGTTTGACTCAACTTTATTTAATTGGAAATCTCTTGATTTTCAGACTCACAGTTACTCTCTTTTTAGGAAAACACCCTTAGAAGAATTTCTCTAAATTAAATTATTTCCTTTAAATAAATTATCTGAAAAAATATTAAATTTAAAATCGACACATTTATATTAGAGCGATTTTGTTTATTATCTCGGACTATAATTGAAAAACTGTGTTCATTTTTACAATATTATAGCACACGGTACATGATCGAACAAGAATTTCAAATTTCATAGAACTTTTTATGTTGAATACCGAAATAACGGTTATTGACAGCATCACAAATTCATTAGGACGTTCATTGTTAAAAAGACTAAATGACAGGATAAAATGCATCGTGTTTGTTATTTCAATTAGAGCGCCCAGATTATAAAATTATTTTCATTTGATCCTAGCGCGCTCTGTCATTTTCTATTTTCTCAGTTAAAAAACGAAAATTTGCATTGTGCTACGATGTAATATAAGTATACCTATATGAAAAAGTCTCCTATTTTCAAATACCAAATTTTTGTCCCTAAATTTTTTTTAAATAACAAGCTAGCCAAAACCCAATTGTAATCTTTGTGTGTATATGCATTTTAGTTTTATTTTATCACAACGGAATTCGTCTATGTACTCGTACTTGTCTTCTAAGAATATCGAACAATTATTTTTAGAATAAAAAAGTTTTAGTTGATTAGTCGTTCATCATAATATTGATAAGAGATTATAAAAATGTGAATTGAACAAAATAAAATTACGAATTCTCTATCTGAACAAATTTTTATTATACTTACAATCTATACTTATACATAAGCATATTATTTGATTTTTTAATTACATTTAATTCTCTATTTTGAACTGGCCAACCTTAAAAATGAACTCTCAAATACCATTTAAAACCAATAATAACAAATCTAATTTTATATAATTTAATGGTTGGCATACATACATATATTATGTTAATATATTTTTCCATGTATATGTATATACTATTGCTTAGTATTTATGCACAAGTAAGTCTTATACTATGCATAATAACAATTTATTTTCGGTTACATTGGTTAAAACTTAAGAATCATTCATTTCACTCTAGCTTTGAGTATGTGCGCATACTTATATGCATGGACTCAGTATTGAATTTATGACTACGAATCTTAAAATCTCAAGTGTGTCATTAGGTTTTTTTTTGTATTTTAATTATTTAATTAGAAGTTAACCACCGTTTAGTGCATCTCATATGCGCATTATTTCAAAGCAAATCGCACACAAGTTTCATTAAAATTTTTAATGCCTTGATATGAAAGTTTAAAAAAGCTGCAATATGTTGAAATATGTGGTGTTAACATCTTTATCCTTATGATAACAATATTTTAAAAAATAATCCTTGATTTCAATTACTGAATTTAATATTGACTGAATTCTACGATATAAGTTCGTTAATTTTTTTCTTGAATTAATTCGGAACCATAAATTCTGACTCAGGCAGTTTCGTCTTATGATCACAAATGACTTTTTCCATGTTAAATTCACGTTTATAATGAGACTTAAAAAATTATTTTTTAATATTAATGAATATTGTGTTTGATAATTGCTTAGCTCCCGCTGTGTTCCGAAATTTTCACCCTCAAGTATACATACTTATGTATATCAAAATGAGTTTTTCTTTTTATTATTTCCAAGGCATAAAAATTATAAGTATGTGATTGAAATAAGGGTTTAGAGAGAGAAAGAAAATGGAAATATTTACAAAAAGTCTTGATTATTTAGGAGGTTAATGCATGTATTAATACATTTTATCAGTTATTTACAATAAGAAATTTATAGAAACCCAATTGAAAATAATGAAGAACGCTTTGCAATTTCACTTTCCCAAAAAAACTAGATACGCTCAAAAACTTTAAATATTCCGAAATTATCCAAAAAAAATTTTAGAAAATCACAAAATTTTACAAATTTATGATTAATACTGCATCACGTATAACAATTAATAATTTATTTTAGTGTAGGGTGCCGAACGGACTGAAGATAAAAGTGTATAGCAGCATATTTTTGTTAATTTGAACAAAATATTCTAAAAGAAAAAATTAAAATATTTTACTAGCGACATTAGCGATCAGTTTTTTTGAACTGATAACAATTTTTAAGTGCATATCCACATTATTTTACATTTTGAACGTTTAATATTGATTTAGTGTTCACCATAATACTATTTATCATGGTGAACTTCTAATAATCTAAATAGATTATTTTTTTCGTAAATATAAAATTGGTTTATTCGTAACTAGATAATTCTTCAATTTTCTACGTTTCGTCAAATAATACATATATACATATATACATTATGTTTACGCAAGAAAAAAAGAAACCCTATTAATGTAGAGGCTTGATTTTAGAGAACTTAATTTGAAGTGCTATTAGTGCATTATTTTGAAGTGCTATAACTGAATTAAAACTAACTTAATTTCTTCAAAATCTCAGAAAGTATTGTGTACCATTATAATTAAATACCCCGTACTTTTTGGAAAATTTTTATGTCAAGGTTTTCCATTAGATCATAAAAAACTGTTCAAATTTTGTTCTTATGTACTTTTTGTTTTTTTATTTAATTCAAAATAGTTTATACTTCACTCCTTTTAAATAGGAAAAAGAAATCCGAAGATTTGTACATTGGGGGAAATCGCTTTTTGTCAAAATGCTGTAATACTCTTGCAGGAACATTCTCTAATTAGCTATATTACAAAATTTACGTGAAGTTCATACCGAGAATATATAGCGTACATATACAGAATTTGAAGGAAATTTGGTCAGTATTAAAATGAATCCGGAACCAGTTTTAAAATTAATACTAAGAAAAAATAAACGATACTCTTAAAAATTCAATTCTTTTGGAATATATTAAAACTTCACCTTTTTGTTGTTGCTTATTTTACCGTTTTGGCAGTCAGGTCATCGGTATGTTTTTGATTCTGGATTAGGCCTACATATGTAGTTTATTTTCGATTTCAAACCTCGATTAAAGAAAAGCGTACAAAACCAATTAGGAATGAAAAGGTTAAAATATTCGGAATAACTGCACAAACAAAACAATATTCATTCTAAGAACACTTCAACTTATTATGCAAAGCATTGAAAAAGTGCGCAATGTCAGTCAATTGGTACTCCATATTTATAAAAATTCGGCAAAATAAAGCCAAGGAGGTATAAAAGTTTTCCCTTTTTTTGGCCTTGTATTTTTTATTGTTTTTTACAACACAAATCTAACAAGAAAGAAACTCAAGAAAAAAATACAAAAAATAAAGAAAATATCAAAGTAACAAAAACAAGACTTGACCTGGGATCTTCTTATGTTTATTGAGATTTACTTATATTTGAAAATGCACCCGAATCGATATTTTTCTTCTGTCAAAAATAGCATTTTAATATAAATTTAAAAAAAAAAATTATAAATGTGTGTGTATGTATGTACGTTATAAAAGAATTCTGGTATTCGTTATAATCCACAGGGTGCTTAATAAAAAAACTTGAAATGATTATTTCTGCGGCAAGTTTGATGAGCTTAGCGTTTTGTTATCAGAATTAACAACAATATCAAAGCATTATACATGGACATTTAATATGTATAAATGTATATATTTGAAATATTGTTTATCTGGCAGTGACATATTAAAAGGTTTATAAGAAAAACTTAACATTTTAAGGTGAAAAATCCAAAATATAAAAAATAAAAATAAATAACCCTTAAGATAGATATAATAAAAAAATAAAGAAGCGTTCTTTAATTTAATTCTGAAATGTTAAATTGATTTTTTAAATAATTTTTATTAAATTGATTTTTGATTTATATTCACACACACATTCATTGATTAGGAACCTATATTTTAACTTCTACAGCAGTACTCAGCAATGTATTCCCATTTAGTGACCAAAATACTTTAACATTTGGTTATGATCACATTTTGCAATTCTAATTTTATACCGATTTCCTTTAAACCTAAAATAAAAAAGTTAAGTGAAGTTCTAATTTATATTATACAAAATGTTTCAATGAATTTTTAAATTGCTTTGTTATTGGTAAAGTAATGTAATAGTAATTTTTGAAGTTTAATTTTGTAACATTTTTTTTTGCGGGGCCCTATGACCGGTCTCGCCTCGACCGAGAGGATCTCTTGTGGCTCATTTACATGAGTATGGCCGATTTACATTATTACGTTCGCTTTGAACCTTGAAATTTCTAAAGTGGATCACAGCCTCTCACTCACACGGCAGATTTGTATTTAACTTAACTTCAAAATTGTACACCATGTTTTTCAATCATTTGTTAAAATACATATATTCATACATTGTTATACATATATGTATATATGTATATGTAAACAGACATATATGTACATAATATGTAGAACATCAATACAATATATTACGAATCATTCATGCTGTCTTCTTTGCTTACTATAGTGTATAGTAGTGCACCGAATACAACAGTACACCACAGATATGTATGTATGTATAAACATTTTCAATATCATAAAAAGGAAAAAAAAATCCTCTTTTTCTCTTCCTTCTTGAGTGAATTATTAGAAAAAAATAATAATAATAAAATAACAAAAAAAAGTAATAACATAAACTCAAATCAACCAAATTTCTTTTAAAACCAAAAATTTGAAGCTATTTTAAGCCAGTGTTAATTTGTAATTTGAACGAAGAGGTCAATAAAGCAAAAAACAATAGAAACAAAAAGGAAATCCAAAAGAACATATTCAAATAAAATTATTTTAAAAGTACGAAAAATTTTTTTTCTATTAGATTCGAAATCTGATGCAGTGTTGTCGTCGATTCGTAGAAACGACCATTAAAATTAAAATGTAATCAATAGAACTGTCGGAGAATAATAAGAAAACAAAAAAAAATAATCAAATTAATTCAAAGTTAAGATTAAATTTTATATTTTATTTACAAATAAATATTTTATTATTTAAAATTAATAAAGAAAATGTGAAACGAAAACATTCAAATGATGATAAAAGCTTAAGAAAAAAAGTAATACGAAAATAAAATTGCAAGTGATTGTTATACAGTTATGAATAATAAAAATTTAAACAGTACTCTTTTATTGAAATTGAATTCACAAAATTAAATAAAACTTTAATTACGAAACAAAACAAAAAAAATTAAATAAAAATTGTTTAATTAAATTAAAAATAATGTGCTTGTAGGTAAAATTAAAAAAAAAAGAAAACTAATTTTTGCATGCCCTCTAACCTCGCCATGCAACTATCGGTTGACCAACCGCATGCTTAAAATATTTCTGAAAATTATACAAAGTAATTTTATACATTGACAATTAATTAAAATCTTTACTTCGTGTGTTGTAAATTTTTATTTTATTACTTTTTTTATTTTTTTTAATAAAACTTCAATTATTATTTTCAAATATGGAAATATCAAATAAAATAAAATTCTTGGTGATTTCAACATTGGTGCTTTTCATAGGTAAGTAAAATATGAACCATGCATATAAAGTAAAATACAAAATAAGAAATTGTATAAGGTATAGCTAACTGTTAAAAAAGCCGAAAAGAAAGGCAAAAAAAAAAGTTTTTTTTTTCCTTTTGGCGGTCCACGAATTTTGTTATTTTTTCACTAACACTACTATGATGAGTGAATAACAAAAGTGGTGAATTTAAGAATCATCACTTAAAAATATTAATTGTGTTAAAACTTTTGAAACATAATATATGTAATTACGTATAAGTGCACTTAGATTTTTACTAACTATACATTTCATAAAATTAGTTGCATACTTATGTGTGTACATAGTACATGCATATACATATATGTTAAATTTAATATTGACTGCTGATAATATAAAAGATTTTCATAAACGCGTTATTGTAAAACAATAACTGCGAAGCGCAATGCTACAAAAACAAAACGTGATATGGATATGGAATATAGGGCATTTTCGATAATTGAGACATACACTGAATAGGTTTTAAATTAAATGTAAAAAGGCTTTTTTATTAAGAAGTGAGATCTGAATTATCGAAAATCTCCATATTTTTCACTATTCTATGTTATTAAAGCAAAACAGTTCGTACGATTTGACGATTATTTGAACAAACTAGATTATATGAATGCAAATTATATGAACAGACTAGATTGGCAATATTTATATATAAACATAAATGTAGTGCAGTTTTCACTATATGTATATCGCGATATATACTGCGAAATTTATTAATCATTTCATTAAAAGTCTCATAAAGTTTAAATAAACTAAACCTGGACTTAAACGGATTACAAATTTACAATTTAATTTGATTAAAACAATTAAAGATTTTTGCAGATGATATTAGGCAAATCTTTAATTTGATAAACTTGTATTCCAAAATTTACAAAAATTGTTGATGAACTCTAAAACTTTAATCACTCAATTTATCACTCGATTCAAATTCATAATTTCGTTTTATACTATTGTCTATCTAGCCTAGTCTATTATACGCTCAAAATTTTTTAAAACATTTACTAATTAACATTAGTTTGATTTAGATATTTAAATTTTCGAAAATCATTCTAAAACTGAAAAGATAAAATTTCAGTTTTATTTATTCCTATTTTGAACTTCCATTCAATAACACGATTTTCATAATAAGAATCGTATTATCTACCGTATTCTTAGTTAGACTCACGTTCTTAAATTTTTTTTTTTTAAAAAACTTTTACATAATATGCATGTTCTTACATACCTACATATAATGGACATTTTTTACTCATTTAATAACTTTTAATATGTAACTTTAATATTTGAACTCAATTTTAAACCCACGTTTTATTAAAAAAAGTTGTAATACATTTATCTTTGTTTGTCATACCATCATCTTCATTTGGTTCAAATCGCCTAAAAAGTTTTTTGTTTTCTAAAGTTTATTGAATAATATGGTAAAACTAAGGATTTACCAAGAAATTGAATTGAAATTACCAAATTTTAATTCCATTTTACTATTTTACATATATACATACATAATTATGTACATAAATAAAATGTTAAAGGTTTTTCATAGTTTTCTTTTTTTTATTATTCTTTTTTCTATTTCAATTTAGAATTTTTGAGTATTTGTTATTTTATAGATTTATTTTTACTATAATGCTTAACATAACATAAAAGACTATAGTTTTAATAAAAATTATAATTATATATATATACGTATATATATGTATATGAGTATGTAGGTACATATTTGCATATCTAAACATTTATACTACACAATAATAGAGCGCATATCTTAATTTATTCAGAACATGTCTAATGTCACTATTTTTTCTAACTTTTAATGCCCGGCTGATTTACATAAAAGTTCTAAAATAGTTTATTTGTATACCAGTTTTCCGAAAATAAAGAAAAAAAAACAATTATGCGGCATTTCTTTAGTACTTTTTCCTATGATATTTAAAATAGAATGACATTTTCAATGCGCATAGGAAGAAAATTAGTTTTTAGAAATTAATTTTCTTCTATTGAGTTTTTCTTTAAAATTTTAAGAATAGCACGACGAACAAGAATTTCTAAAGTTAAAAAATGTTATAAAGAAAAAGTGACGTAAAGTTTAACTTTAAAGTTTTTAATGAAATATGAAGAGATTAATAAGGTATTCAAAAGATTTGAGTTGACTATGGTTTCTTTCTAGACTAATTTTTTTGGAAATTAATTTTTAATTTTGATATATTTGCAGAAAATGGTCAAAATTCCGAACAATTAGATTAAATAACTATAAAAAATTTAGACACTTATCTATAAATGTATACTTAGTGCCTCTCGGAATGTGAAATAAATTTTTGTTAATTTTTCCAATATGTATTGAAAATTTTAGTGGAATTTTCTATTAGTTTCTAAACTGAACGAGCACAACGAATATAAAGAAAATTGTCCACTTTTAACGTAATTAATAATCTACATCTACCTAAAGAATACTACTCTTTTCCAATTTATTTACTTATTATGACACGTACATACATAATGTACATATTTGGATTATTATACCTCACTTAATTATGTGCATTGCAAAGCGTAATGCATTTTTAATTTGTTAATTACCCGGCTTTTAAAAATTTTCCAGCACAATTGATTTTTAATTATAGTTTTGTGTCTGTAGATATTTAGGTATGCATACTGGTATGTTGCATCCATACATACAATTATAAAAATTTATGTATATGTACACACATATGTGTATATTTATATAAATATAATACAGAGGCGGTTGTAGTTTTGTTCTTTTATTTTTTAATTTTAAAGGCAACTAAAAGAATTTTGTGGAAAAATTTTTTGGCGATTGAAGAATTTATTCTGTTTTTACAAAATATTAAAGTTTTAGAAAAAATTTGGATTCGGAAGTTATTATAAAATACTTATGAATTATAAAAAATTTTTTTAATAAGTAATTATTAAAATAAATAACTATAATGTATTTTACGATTTGCATAAAATTGCTACGCTATACTAATTCTAAGATCTTCATTAACAAAATATTATATGAAAACTATTCATGATTGGATATTGATTTTTTCTAGTCTCTTTTATTCCAAAATAGTCACTAATAGAGAATGGTTTGTAAATGGAACATTATTTTTATTAGACGAATATAGCTGAAACTTGTTTATGTAATTCAAATTGTGAAAGATGTTATCTTTCTGTTAGAAGTTAGAATTTATGCACAACAATTTGTGGCTTATACCAAATACCACTTATTTTGAGATAGCTATTCTCGTTCCTTATATTAGATTAATTGTATGGGGAATCTTAATATTTGTGAAACGGATGAAGGAATAAAATAATTTCATTCTTACACTGCCCCCACACTGTGTATATACATAATAGAGTTCATTTTTTATCACGACGCTCTATTTTTTAACTCTTGCTTTTCTTTATTTCTAACTTCATTTTTTTGTTGTATTTTAGTTAAAATGTTTGAAAATATTATAAATCATCCCAAACACAAATAATAGCGTGTCAAATATGCATTATGGCTATAATTTTACCAAATTTTGTTACTATTGTGATATATGTAGGTTCCACTGAATATTTAGATGAAAATAACGCACATAATTTATAATAGCATATTTTTCACGTTAATCATATTAACATATAATTAATCTGTCAGATTGCATTATTTTTTAATTTTTAAATAGATTTGTTACTATACATTTGGAATGTACTTAATAATAGAATTTATGAACCTTTAAAATTTGAATTAATGAATTTAATTTAAGGGTTTTAAAAATAAAGAAAAGGGAATTTATAAATCAAAAATTAATTTCTCATTCTTTTTTGTTAAAAAAAAAAAACAATTTTTTACCACACATAAAAGAATTCAAAATTTTTTAAAAAGAATGCATTGCACTTTACCAAGAATGTACTTTGTACATTGTTGAAGTGGGAATTCTGGAGTCTTGTACAAAATAGTAATGAAAATCTTGTTTATTTTTTTTTGAAAGCGTTAATATCTAATATAAGTTTTTCTAAAAATTGTTGAGTTAACTTTTTAGCACATTATAATACAATGTCCCAAAAAAGAATGTGTTTGGAATGGGTACCAAAACAGAAATTTCAATTTTTAAGTCACGTGTCAACCCTCATTATTATGCCAGTGTCAAGGGAATTTACATTGTTATTGCATAAAGAATAAACAGCTGTTTTCGTACCTTCATTTTCAAATTTCAGCTGCATTAGTTTAATAAATTGTTGCCACTCTTAGTCAAGCACTTATAATCATGTATTTTTCTTTGATAAAGCTGTTAAAAAATTTATCCTTATACCCTTACTGTTAAAATTCATTGATATAATCAATAATTTTCAATAATATAATAATCCCAATTTCAAGGGCAAACTACTTGAATGATATTATAATTATCTTTTCTTAGTTTATGTATGAAAGTTTGTGCACATATATATGTGTATGAAAGTATAGATCTTATATATACCGGCCACGTATTTCAAGGATTATTCTGAAGCAGATGTTGTTCCTTATTTTAAGTGATTACCATCACTTCATTATATAGACATTGTTTAAATAATTTTCGAATAACAAAATAAAAATACTAAATCACAGTAGAAAAATATTTATAAGGAGAAACCTATTATAATTATTTTGCTATAATTATATATATACATACTTACTTACATAATTGCGAGTGAGTTGTTAAGAAAATTTACACAAAAATGTAAATAAAACCGGAAATACAGACGTCCAGTTAAATTGCGTTATTTTGTTAGGGTACTTAAGAGAATAGCAATATTGTACTTTACTAATATTGCTTATTGAATTTAGTTAGCTCTAGGGTCTAAAGTTGTCTTATTTAAAAATGGTTTTTTGACAAAATGTCCTTAAATTTTGAGACATTTTGTCTTTTTGTGTTGTTTTTTCGCTTTGTTTTTTGGTTTTTTATTTAAGTGGGAATTTCAACAGAATCTATTTGAAGAGATTTTACAGTGG